GAGACCCAGAGTGGAGGCTGTGGGGATTGAACCGGCTACTTTCAACCTTCTCAGAGCACAAGCGCACCGCTCTAACCATTAGACCAGCACTCCTTTTATTTTTTTCTTCTTTTTTTCAATAAAGTATGACTGGAACACTGTTATATATTGAAGGAAATATCACAGCAGTGTTAAAAATCCTGGTCATGAGTTGTTTTTCCAATGGCATCAGAAGAACTATTGTAGAAATGATTTTAACTCTTATTTTCACTAATGTTAATTTTGCGACACTATGACTTGGTTTAAATGCTTAGAGGCTGTGGTATTTTAAAAAGCGTGACAATTAGAAACTGCCTTTACTGAAACCTCACTTGATCGAAGCATGAGACAGAATAACTGAGGTACAATTAAAGGTTTCTTTGCAGTCCGCCCTTCATCTGTATTTGTATTTCCCAGGCAGAACGTGTTGCAGCTCCTGCCTCTTGCTGTCTTGTGCCTTCATCTTCTTCTGCCCTCGTCGCTCTGTGAGAATCTGAAATGCTACTTCACCCCCATCCTGGAGAAGGAGAAGAAGATAGAACTTTCAGTGACGGAGTGTTCTCCAAACGAGGTGTGCTTCCATGCGCTGGGTCATTTCGGAAACTTCACCGCCTTGTCGGCCAGGGGGTGCCTGCCAGAGAAGAACTGTGGAAAAGCAAACAGCATCCGGTTCAGAGGAGCAGCCTACGCCATGACCTACGAATGCTGCGACTGGTCATACTGTAACTCAGGTGTCACGATGAAACCTTTTAATTTCCTTGTAATGCTTGTGTCTGTCTCCATAATGGCCAGTTTCAGTGAATGAAGTAATGTTCATGTCAGTTAAGGGGTGAACACCCAGTCTGAAAACTCAGGTGTGCACCATCCTGATACTAGAAATGTTTTTATTCTTCCTTCTGTTCTTAATGTTCATGTTTTTATGCCACAATCTATAAATAAATATTTTACACAAGAAATTGATGCTGTGAGAAAAATTATAAAGCACCAAAATCCAGGTCAGATAAACTTGGTCACACATGAAGTCTCATTTCTGACTATGTCAAACTGCAATAAGGTGGGATTCTGTTTTATGGAAGTTACAGTTCCATTACTAACTACCTGGGTGTCGTTTTGCACAAATTCAATATAGTCACTCTACTTTTTATGCAAGTTTTTTTTTTTTAAATGTGAAAGGGGGGGTGCACTGTATCGCACAACAAAATCTTTTTTTCTTTAGTCTTGCTTGGCCGAAGGCAATATCGAATTCGTTTTATAACTGAATTCCAAAAAAAGTAAAAAAAAACAAAACAATGGACTTTGTTTCCAAGGCTGAAGAAATTTTGCTTCCTGGATGGGAAGTAAAAAGTCTTCAACCTTGGAAAGGTTTTTTTTTGTAATGACTTTGACCTGGATGAATCTTCACCAGCATTTATAACTGAATCTTTGCAATTTAGCAGATCTAATAGTTTTGAGAATTTCTTCATAAAGATGAACCTTTACAGTAATACAAATCTTGCCACAGATAAACCATGGATTTATGAATGGATTAAAAAAAGTCTTGGATAATTGTTCCTTAACATAAGATGAAATTAATCAAGCTGAGATCTAGAAAAAAATATTTCAGTCATCAAATGTTGCAGAATAAAATTAGTAAATGTTTTTAAAGGAAATGTTAAATTGCATGAGATAAATTTATATTTTCTTTTGTCTAAATTTGGAATGTCTAATGCTTTTATAAAAACCATGCTATTGTAGCTTTGGCTGTATGCTTGGGATCGTTGTCCTGGCGGAGGGGGAACCTACACTCAAGTCTCACATTTTTGTGCCTCTCACTTTTGTTCTAGACCAAGCTCCTAATCCCTACAAAGGAAAGCAATCCTGCAGCATAAAACCATCTCCAGAGACGGCATATTTAGGGTGAAGTGTGGGTTTGCTTCTTCCACGATTTCCTTCTTTCGTTTCTCCCAATAAAGAAAGAATGGCAACAGATTTGTCAATGAATCTTCTCAGCATTTTTTTTTAACCTAAAAATAATTACTTGCATGTTTCTGCAACGACACTTTGATTTTCCTTTGGTGTAGTCTGAAACATTTGGCAATAGTTTTCAAACATGTTTGCTTCCTAGTAGTTTATAGCTAATGTCAAATTTATTTATATAGCACTTTAAAAACGGGTATAAAACTTCACCAAAGTGCTGTACAGGACAAACAATAGTACTAATTAATAAAAACAGATTATCAAAACACTTCAAGTAAATGCTAAAGAATAAAAATGAGTTTTAAGAAG